TGGACATGGAGGGATCACTGTACCATCCAATTGCCAAATGGTTGTCCGAGATGCTGGAGCCTATGACACGACAACTCTGTAAGTACTCTCTACGAGATACTTTTGAATTTATTGAGTGCATAAAACACTTGAATGTAAATGGCAAACGAATGTTATCACTGGACGTGGAATCTCTATTTACGAATGTGCCGCTCACAGACACAATTTGTTTCCTTTGCAAGTATATGGATGACAAAAATCTGAGTATCGGAATACCAACCTCATACCTGAAAGAGTTGTTATTAAGGTGCACACTCAACGTACAATTTACATTCAACGACGTCATCTATAGACAGAAAGACGGGATTGCTATGGGCTCTCCCCTTGGCCCACTTTTGGCAGACTGCTTCATGGCCAGCCTGGAAAACGGCATCTTAAAATCAACAATGGACAAATTGCTGCTGTACAAAAGATACGTCGATGACACTTTTATAGTTTGTCAGGATGATTCCGATTTAAATTGTATCTTACAGGAGTTTAATAACTGCCATCCTTCAATTAAATTCACAATGGAAGTTGAAAATGAATCAAAGATTCCATTCCTGGACGTCGAATTGACAAGAAGAGATGACGGAACTCTGAAAAGATCTATCCATAGAAAACCAACATGGAATGGCCAACTGACAACTTCTACAGTTGGATACCTATCAACCGTAAAAGAGCTCTCATCATCTCAGTAGCACACCGTACCAGAAGAATTTGTAGCGATGACTGTTTAGAAGAAGAGCTCCTATTTCTCAAAAGCATACTGGTTCAAAATGGATACCCACCGCGTTTCGTGGAGAACATGAAACCAAGGCGCAAAAGAGAAGAATACACTTCAGTGTCAAAGAAAACACTTTATTTGAATCTGGAATTCAAGGAAAACCTAGCAGCAGATATCCTTAAAAGGAGAATACCCAATTCCCTGAGCAAGACTTTTCCGGCAGCAACTCTAAGAGTGACATTCTCTAGCCACCCACTACTTCGGAGCAACGGGAAGGACAGACATCCCGTTCACCTGCGCTTGCGGAGCTAGGTACACATGTCGTTCTATGTGGGTCTTATCGAAACGTGTTAGAGAACATCATCCAGCATGGCTGCAAAGAGTAGGCATTAGTTCAATAAGAAGCGCAATAACTGAACACCTCGTCAATACCTGTCAAAGAATCTTAAATGACTCATCATTTAGAGTCATTTACAAAGTAAACGAAAATCTACCAAAGGCAGTGTGTTTCCGACTTCTTTGTACTGCGGAAGCTCTCGCCATATGCATTGAAAAGCCAGAGCTATGTGTTCAAAAGAAACTAGTCCAGCCTTTACAACTACCATGGACCTAGTCTGGTATGTTCCCTTACCCTTCAGGTTCTTTTGTTTTGTTCTGTGTATAATTTTCTCTCTTTGTCTTCATTCAATTCATTCCATTTTTTTCATTTATAAAATCAGTTATTTCTAATTTGTTTCCATGCTCCTCCTGATCACACTTGTAATCCTTTTAGAATAACCATTTTACAGTTATATTCTAATCCTGTGTAATTTTTTTGTTTCTATGCCTCTTCTAATTTACATTCATACCTCCTCCTGACTTACATTTCAAGTTGAAAATTTTGATTTCAATTTGTTTCCATGCTCATTTTGTTCACAGCTGTAATTTGTCCTATCCCTGCGTCTCTAAGCCTCTTGTAACTCATATCAAGTTGAAAGTAATTATCACCTTTTATTCGCCTTTAAAATTATTTCCCCAGTTATCAAATATTAATTTTGCACACGTTGTAACTGTCTTTTCTAATCCTATGCAATCTTGTCTCTAAGCCTCTTGTAATCTATATTCGTACCTTCAAACTTTCATATCAAATGGAAAATTATTATCTCCTTCGTTACCTTGTGGAATTAAACAAATATTAGTTGTATCCATGTAAACTAATCTATATAAATGCGATTGTATAGTATTGTAACCTCGCCTAGTTGACTAGCTTGCTATTTTTCTAGCCTGTCGCAAGCCCGAGTAAACAGGGATGGTTGGGCGTTGGGCTAGCAACGCTACACCACTAAACCTATCAAACTGCTTCAGCGTACAGAAAATATAATAAAAATATAAAAAATTCAAAGAACGATCTTATTCTTCGCTGGAATCAGAGAGACGAAATGGTACAGCGGTGTATCAAAACCCTTCGAGAAGCCAGTCAGCCAGAGGGTGTCTTCTCTGGATGAAAACAAGAGTGAGAATATACACGTAGATCGTCCGTACAACGTACAAGATTGGGAAGGATGCTCAGGTTGCCAAAGAGATGCGAAGATACGGCATAGAAGTGCTGGGCGTCTGCGAAAGCAGACGGAGTGGATTATCAAAATTGTCAACTGGAGAGTCAATAATCTACCCCGGTTAATCAGACACCAGCCACAAGGGAGTGGCTGTTATTATATCACCAGTGCCAGCCAGAGCCCTAACGCAGTGGGAACAAATTTCATCCTGCGGGATCATGACAGCAAGATCACAATCATCCAATGCTACGCATAATGCTACAAACAACACAGAACAACAGAAGAAGGAAGAGTTTTACAGACAACTACAAACAATAATGGACGACATGAATGCCAGCTGAACTGGGAGCAGATAATACAAGAAGAGAACTCACCATGGGTCGAGCTCTATCGCGGAGAAATGAATGAGAACGGAGAAACATACACAGACTTCTCCGCCTTCAATGATTTGGTGATCGGAAGCAGTGTGCATAAGCACAAGGATATACACAAAGCAACATGGATTTCGCTTGACGGACATACCTCAAACCAGATAGATTTCCTCTGAATGCTGCTCAAGGAAGTGGAGACGCAGCTAGTCTGCTGGATACAAAGTCAAGAAAGGGAGCAGATCTGGGCTCAGACCATCATCTAGTTCAACCAAACTTCAAGGTGAAGCTGAAATCCATGGAAACTACTAGAAACAGGCCGCAATTTAAGTTCAACATGCAGAAACTGAAGGACAAAAATTAAAAAGGATGCCTTCAGTACACAGCAATAAGATCAGAACAAAGTCGGAGACACTACATGTTACTACCGAGGAAGAACATTGGAACTCTCTGAAGGAGAAGCCGAGTTCAATGTACACTGCACTGAATAAAGAAATGAAGAAGAGTGCTAGGAAAGACAAAAGACTATTCTACGACACACTGGCTGGCAGGGTCATTTACCGCATACCAACAAATTTCAATTTCGTCTTAAGAGTTCAAACACCAAATACTGCTGAGGATCGCTGTTGGGATCCACATTAAGAAGCCTAATTTGTGCTTCCAAAAGAAGTTAGTTCAGACATTATCCTTACCTTGGTCATCTAGGTTTGAATGATCTGCAATTTCTGTGGAATTTTCCTACTTTTAGTTGATATTCTATTTGCTATTATATTTTTATTATCGTTATAATTTAAGCATCTTTAATGAACTGTAATTCCTTTGGTCTCACTTTACAAGTCGATATTATTTAAAAAACACCAATGTTGTTATTGACTAGTAATCTAGAATATTCTATGTATATAAACATACATATAATTGTAGAGCCAGAAGAGGAAATTATCGAAAAGGATATTCTTTGCTCGATTATTTTGTGTTTTATTAATGTCATACACAGAGTCGAAGAATCGCAGGCGAAAACCAACAAACTGGCTGAAGAAACAGCCATAGAAGACAGGACTCCGAGTGAACATAGAGAAGACAGAGGTGATGAAGATAACCCACCTACAGCAGCAACAACAACAACCAGCACCAATCACCATCAACGGGAGAGACTTAAGAGACGTTACCTCTTTCATTTATCTATTAAATATCGTTTCTTTACAGGCAGCCAGAACGGACAGCTACTAAGAGCCTATGAATTACAAACACTCTTGGTACAAAATGATTCCAAATAACTAAACCTACTATTCAAATAAGTGACTTAAGTTTAATTGGAGTTAACACCACAAAAATAATCAGCTACACTAATCCCTGTGACAATAACTCAACTACTGATCGCTTAACAATATTTATTCAGCTGTAATACGAGGGTAATAACATTTCCAAGTCTTCAAGCTTATGAAAGATCAGATAAACACATCATGGGTGTGCTGCACTGGTCTTTGAAAGCGAAGCAGTCCCGTTTCCTCACCTATATAGCTTAGCAATAATGTATACATTTCTTTTTAGTCATTGATGTTATACAGTAACCATCTTCTGTTTTATTTCCTTGAGCTTCCAGTGGAACATGAGCTTCAGAGTTGGTGTTGTTCTCGTGCCACGGGATGTGAATGCTAACCGCATGCCAAAACGTCCCTTTTCACTAGGATTACTACAGACCAAGCGAGGTTAAAGAGTGAAACGGCGGGGATTCAACCCAGACTATTACTACAACTACTGATCGTACAAGCATAATAACATCTGGAAGTCTTCAGCCCAGTGGAAGGTTGCATAACCATACAACTGGTGCATCATGTCGATGGACGCAAGCAAAGGTGTCCCCTTGGTGATATTTTACAGCCAAGTTCATATTCTATCTCCATTGATGTTAAACAATAATTTCTTTCCATTACCATACCTACAGAAGGCTTTATGCTTGAGCTTTAGCTGTGCAGATTGAAGCTGCTTGCCTCATGCTCAACCTTCCCGTCTTACCAGGCTAACTGATGACTGAGAAACTATGCAGAATTTAGAAATGTGCAGCAACCAGGAATCGAACCCAGACCGCCTGCGCCGTCGTCGCCAATCACCCTACCATTACCACACTAGCGGCATATACAAAAAGTAAAGTCCAATAAATCCCTTATCATGCGGTTGTATAAAACAAAAATAATTGTGAATAACTTAGAACACATCAGTGAAAACAAGTAAAGACTTTATTTTAAAGATTTATTGATCGCAAATTGAACACACGCACACACACAAACTTGGGGAATTTCTGGGCGAACACAAACAAGCCACACATACACACACCATATATCTTAGTTTATTTAATAGATAACTTCTTGACAAGCAAGCACTTGATAATAGAAAAAAGCATACATCATTATGATATGACCATTATATGAAACCAAAACATTTAAACAAGAATTTCAATTCCCCCTTGGAATCGGGATTCACACCACACCACACTCCTCCAATGGTGAGGCACACGTACATGCACACACACGCATTTGTGTGCACCCAAACCCTTCGGGGGGGGCACAGCAACAACCTTACTAAAGACTCAGAGAGAGAGAGAAAAAAAGAAGAATTAACTGAAGAATTTAAATTGAACGGACGACACACATTCACACACGGATACATTTTTGTTTGAGATGACTTGGCGCACAAAATAATTTGGCAAGTTTCACAGTTGCAAAAAGCTGAGCTAGCCTCAAACACACACACACATACACAATAATAGTATTAGTAATAATAATAATAACGACAAAGAAGTGAAGGAGAATACCAGTATAAGCAGTAGTACTAACAGAGTAATTCACCAGAACACAAATAGAACAACACACGGAAAATCACCTTCTTCTTAAATCTTTCTAATTTTTCTGTTTTTTTAAAAAAAAGGAAAAACACACAGTTATTGTTGACATAATTTGGAAAATAAAGAAGAAAACAGGAATGAGCGGAAAACAAAAAGAGGCATTATTATTATTATACTGTGTGAAATTTCTCTTTATTTTTTCTTCTTTCCCTTGAATGAAAAACCAAGGTCCCTGGAACCAGCTGAGTATGTTTTGTAGGTTTGTTTGGCTAGAAAATATTCCTAATTTTAATGATGCAGAAGAGATGAATATATGACCGAAACAACACAATGCTCATAGTAAATGGTGACGATTAAATGACACCGTAATGCTTTACTGGATTATTATATTTTTAGTTTTAATTAGCATTCATCATTGTCTGTAAGAGCAACAAAAAAAACGAAGTGAAAAGACGAAGAAGAGGTACGATGCAACTTGATCAAAACACGCTTAGCAGAGTGTGTTTCATGTAATAAGAGGCGACGGAAGAGAAGGAGGAGCAGGAGAAGAAGGGGTGAGGATAAACGGACTATCCAACTGCTGTGCTATATCTGTGAAAGAGAAGAGAGAGAGAGAGTACAGCGACAACAACAACAAAAATCTACAAAATAAATTCTAATACTTTTTCTTTGTTGTTGTTGTTGCTGACGATAATCTTAAGAAAAAATAAACAAAAACACACGATTATGCGGATACAAAAGTAATGAAAAGAAAACAACAAAAAACACCAGAGAAAAGACAGAGAACAAGAATAAATCGAGACAACTCAAACTGGAAAAGAATAACACGCATGTGCGTGCGTGTGTGTTGTACAACATGGTGAAAGAATCGACAAGTTCAGACCACATTGGAAAAAAAAGCAAAAACAAAAAATAATAATAATTATTATTCTACCACCACACCACCAATGAAGCATCATTACACAATGTGTAGTATATAAAGAGAAGATTCACCAGATAGAGGATACTCTTCATTGATTTGTGAGCAGTTATGATATAGATATGTTAATAGAAGAGAGAAAAAACACATTAGATTAGAGATTAGATAGATCCATGGTGTTGTTGCTTTTTTGGAATAATAATAATAATAAAACGCATATGTAGATATATATGTGTATACACAACCAAATTGTTTATTGTTGATCTTGTCTGTTTGTTTGTGTGTGTTTTTTTCGTTATTGAATACTATAAAGAAATACTTTGATTGCGTCTTGTGTGTGTATATGTGCCAGTGAGTGAGTGGGTGGGTGAGTGGCTGAATGACTGTGAATCCACTAGGCATTCCTTTTATTTCTCATCTCAGCTGTGTGTATATTAATAAACTCTGAAGAAAGCGTTGAAGAATCATTCTCCTCCTTATCAACAGCATCGTCATTGTCATTATCAGCATCATCATCAACAGGCATGTATATATATGTTGTATACATAACAATTGTAAATAATAACAATAAGACTCAATTGGAAGCACACATGTGATATGAAATATAATGGCTAGTCTGTTTATAATTAGGAGTTAGTTAGCACAGGCACAAGAAAAACATCACAAAATACATTTGTATGTATGTATGTATATATGTTGGATCCCTGGAAATGTTGTTTTTGCAAAGATTTACTACTACTCTAGCAGCGCGCATATATCGAGAGTGAGAGAGAGGGGGTAGCAGTATCATCAAGACATAATAGGGAATAATATAATATCCATCCGTTGTTCATTCATCAAATAGAAAAAAAAGCGAGAGAACAACAAGAAGGAGGAGGTGATGACGGATAACAACGAGACTAAAATGACATTCATCACTGTGAATCAGTACTACTGACACACACTGGCACCAGCACCATCACCCACAGATAATAACAATACCCAGAAATGGAATGAAAATATTGACTTTTTAATATATGTATAAACAACAATAGATGCTCATTTTTACTATTATTAGTGAAAGTACTACAACAACAACAACGACAAAAAATCGCTCTCTGATCACAGGTTGAAATCAATAATAAACACACACTCAATGTGTATATATAAGAAGAGTTGGTTGAAAAAAAAAAAACAAATGTGTTTTTGTTTTAACTACACAGGTTAAATAAAACACACTTTTAAAGGCATTATTATTTTCTTATTTCTACTATTTCAGTAGAAATTGGAAAGAAGAGACGGGAACAAAAAAACACAAGTATGAAAGAAGAAGAAGAGATACAGAGAAAATTTGGCAACACATGTATAGAGATATATATAGATATATCTTGTATAAGTACTTTCTTTGCACCGGAATGAGGTAATAAATTTATAATAAGCAGAGACAACAGTAGAAAGATGGGGGGGTGTAAAGATGCATGACTTCAGTTAAACATACACACGCACGCACACCATACGATACTATATCCTAGTCGTTGTGATGGATGACATAAATCGACTATTTGATGATACACACATAGAAATACATAGATAGATATATGTATAAATGATAAATACACTTTAAACGCTTTGAAGAAGAAAGGGAAGAGTGACCGCAAAATCAAGAAAAAGAAAATAAGTATACAATCTAAGACTTGTTGGTATTCATGATAGGACGACAAAGAGAGAGAGAGAGAGGAAAAATGCAATCATCATTATTATAAAGGACATGAATAGTAAGTAGCATAACTCGTAGAAAGACTAATTTCGAAATGGATTGTAATGGTTGGGGGGTAAACAGCCAGAATTATTATTATTGTCATTATTACTACTATAATTATTATTATTTTTATTCAGAATTCGAAAACACAAAAATAGACATGTCTGTATCGAGAAATGGAAAGTCTCTAATTTGCTTAAACAACATTTGACTCAAAAAGAGATGTGAATGCGAAAAAATATATCGGTGGACGTGGTCGTGAAGGAGGAGGAGCAGTAGTAGGAAAAAAAGCCCAGAAGAAGACAACGATTTTGAGCTGAAACTAACTAGACACAATTTGAAAAATCTAATCATGTTTGTTTTGTTCCACTTCTTCGGTTTTCCCTTTTTCCACGGGAACAATACACGCACACGCACATACACCATTGTGTGCTAGAAATAATTAATGATAACCATAACAACAACAATAATAGTAATAATAATAACAATAATAAGATTGTGAACTTGAATGCAATAAAGTCGATCAAAACATGGTTCGTGAATGCTTATACACACATTCATACATATGTATATATATAAATGGCCATTTTGTGATTGGAAATGTATTTTCGTATTTACTGTTTATGATAACAATATTGATAATAAAGAGGAGAGTGGGGTTGACTTATAAAAAATAACTGAACACCATATAAGGATAGGAATAAAGATAAACACCCGAGCAAACAGGCATACACACGCACAGCATAATGAAGAACCATATATATGTATAGTCTAGACAAGACAAAACCACTGAAGAAAATAAAAGAAATACACGTATAAATTTACGTATGTATGTATGCGCATGTATATATAATTTCCAGTTTAGATATGCACGCACAAGAAAAAAAAATGGGACTGAGACTACGGAAAAAATATAATATATATATCCATCCAATTTTATCATTTCGAAGTGGAGGAATTGAATAATGACCCACCTTACAATAATAATAATTGTTACACAACAACACTATTGGTGGTGGTGTTGTTGTTGATGTCAACAGTAGCAGTGTAATAGTAGTTAGTGGTAAATGGTGAACAAAGTTCAATGTGTGCGCAACAACTTTGTCAATGGAACGGATTATTATTATTTTTGTCTAACTACTCCACTCCACTCTACTCTACTCTACAGCACATGTCACAGTATACAAATACACATACACACATAAAAAACACAGATAGACAACAATAGAGTATAAACATACATTAGCACTAAAATATGAGAAAATAAAAGGTTGATGGAGAGGGGGGGTAATGCTATTTATTCTTCATCCCACAGAGGTAGGTGTAAACAGACGGCAATACACACAAACACACAGAGAGAGTTGATAAATTAATTTTTTTCAAGGGATAAAGGAGGAACACATACACATATATAGGGTATATATATTGCACCGGTCTGAGTAGCTTCTCTCTTGGTGTATATTTTTCTTGTCAAGGAGACAAAGGCGATAGCTGGCCGGATGGCTGGGGGCAGGCGAAAAGGATCAGAGTACATAATTAATAAATATGCGAATTCAGGAGGGATGAAACGCATACAGAGACAAACACACAACTTGTGTGTGTGAAGAGTAAAGAGAGAGAGAAAGAAAGAAAGAATACACAAATACAATGAGCACATAACACACGTGTAATACATCACAGTTGGAGTCTTTTCAGCCCAAAAAGACATGATCTGTGTATGTATACGTATACTACTATTTATATAAGGCGGAAGAAAAGAACACAGAGTAGTAGCAGTAGTAGTACAACAACTGCTGGCATCATTATCTTCATATGTTTGTTTTAATCACGCCCAATGAAATGAGAGCAAAATCAAACATGCAGACAGACAGACAGATAGGAGTATGTCACGTATACACACGAGAGAAAGAGGTAAGATTTTCAGTTATGTATATAGTCTACAAAGTCTATCATAAATGAAATGTATTCATCATTAGGACGACAGTCTAAATACAATAATAATGTAAATGTAAACCAGTAGAGCAGAATAACACCACCCAATTGTTTATAAGAATAAGTGAAAAGCTTAAATACATGTATACTGGATGCTTTTGGAAGCCTCTGTACAGAAAGGAAGGTGTCTGTGTAAGGAGTACATTGTGTAGGAGGAGGAATAGAAGAAGTAGGCGAGTAGACTTACAAACAATCAAGTTTAACAAATAAAGGCTGCTGAATCTAGACGAGCAAACACACACACACACACATAAATAAATGAAAGACTGCTAAAATTAGACAGAGTTTAGAAAAAACAGTACCATGAAATTGAAAAAAAATGTTGTTTTTTTAACAAGCAGACACATACAGAGATCTAGAGCACAAACACACACACACACACACACACACACATAGAAGAAATATGAGGAAGAGGATGCAGTGTGGAAGGCAATTGAGGTATAATATGTTATTCTATGCAGATGGACGAACAATAAGTACGGGGTTGGGTGTTAAGAGATATGGACAATTATGATAATAGGTAATAATAATTAATTTTTTAAAAAAAGATGACAATCAACAATTATCGTTATCGTCATTATCAACACATCATCATCATCATCACCACCATCAACAAGAACAACAACAGCAAGGCAATAAATCTGACTAGTTTTGATCCACACACACACACACGCACACGCATTAACAATTCGAAAAACGGCATGATTGTAATTAATAAACACACATACACACTGGATCACAGAATAGTCATAGGCACAGCAAGAAAGAATTAACTAGTAGAAAAGAGGACAAAAAAGAGGGAGAGACGGAGCAGCATATGTGTGAATGAGTGAGTGAGTGAGAAAGTATAATGCGATTTCTTCTCCTACATATGTTCATCACTCTGGTAAAAGTTGAGCATAATAAGAATAATGTTGTGTTTTCTTTCTGTTGAATTCGATAATACTTCTCTTACTACTTTGTGTGTGTGTGTATGTCATTAATTGTCATAAGTTTAGCTGCACTGCAGACGCATAAATCTGAAAGCACAAGCGGCGCGTTCAGACTGGAAGACATCCTTCCGAAGGAATGAGATTCCGTAAAACAACAACGACAACAGCAGTCATACACTACTTCTACTACTTATTTCCGCATACGGTTATTCCAAAACGAGAGATTTGATGATTAGGCTTCTTATTGCTATTGTTGTTGTTGTTATTGATGGAATTTAAAGCATAGAACTGGCCGTTATTATTATTATTCATAGTAGTAGTATTATTCCAATTGGTGTGCATATCTGATAATGCATTATACTGATTAGATGATGATGAGGTCAAACCATCTGAACAAGTGTTTAGAGACTGAAACGAGAAGAAAAATAATAACAAAAAATATGGTTAAACAATTCATACTATTACATATATACGCATATATTATATATACATACTACACGAACAAACTGCAGATGATTTCTTAATTCCCCGTTAAGTGGGAAAACTATTCAACTGACCCTAGAATCATAGAATTAAACAATTAGCAGCAAATACTTACTGAACGACAGCAAGCACAGAGAAAGAAAATCTTCTAGTACAGACTTGACCCCCCCTGCAACACGCATACACACCAAACATATTCTCGTTATTTATTCACACATAATAGGTCAGAATTCATGCGAGAAGTTTTACTTACTGCATATTCTCCAATATAAACACATACAAACAGGCTATTTACGACTACTCTTACTTAGAAATCAATCAGTTCAACAACAGGGGAGGTGATCAAAACCTTTTTGAATAGATTCAAGAAAGGAGGAGGAGGGAGGAACTGGCGGTGACAGGAAGCTCTTATAACTAGAAACAATATTTTAAGTCAATTAAGGCTACTGTTGAGGAAGATTTTTGTCTCAAATCTAAATTAACATTGTTACGTGGACATGATAATTTCTTTTTACTGGACCAACACTCTGACCTCACACCGAATATTTGACCGTATATAACCAATGGTTTATCTAGCATAACTTTTATATGCATGTTGTCTGATTAAGTTGTTTCCACAGTCACAGATGTCAGTCTTTGTCACAATAAAGTAGGTGTACTTGAGAATGAACAACAGTCGTCTTCACTAATCACAGTCAAGTTGATGATTGAGTTGTTGTTTAGTGTCAGTATATCGTTTTATACCCTAGTGTTAGTTAACTCTCTGTCTGCGGATTCAATACTTAAAAAATCCTAGAGCTTTATCATTACCTCTTAAGTGAAATGACACACAACACATTATCCACATGGGAATATATGTTTCAGAGACTATGGTATTTGTATTTGGCATTAGCCTGATACTGTCTGAACAGTTCGTTAATTAGCTAATGTACGTAGAAATTAAATATCCACCATGGAACTAAATATGCACTACAGACATAAGACAGTATATGCATAGGAAAATTGCATCTCTAGAAGCAATAAGGTATCTTTCATACAGTTGAAGATAACTGCACATTTTTATCCTTCCGTAACTCACTCACTTAGCAGCAGTACGGAGGTAGATATTTTCAGCCTATTAGAAGATATACACAATTATATGTATATAAAACTATGTACAATGAGAATATTTATATTAGGAGAGCAATTCCCCTTCTTTTTTCTTTTGGATATTATTAGACAAGGGATCCAGTAAAGAAATATCAATCCTGTCAAATAGCTGCTAGCTTGACGTGATGATCAAACTGGCATATAGCAACTATCCAACGGGCTACACAGACTGGAACGAATGCTCCTACAGATCCTCTACCATTCCAGAAAGTTAGTTTGGATTACGGTTAAACACAAAAAGCAGTCACCAATATCGAGTAAGACGGTCACATGAAGTTGTGGGTTTCTCCCTCTGGCGAGGAGTAGGGATGATAAAAGATCAACTCAGAAAATTGTACATCCCAACAGTCAGTTAACGGTCGTCTATAGCCGGCGGTAAGACCCGAGCACGGAAGCAAATTTAAAAACTACTCCAGAAGGACCGTGTATGACTGGCCTTATGCAATCTCGCCCTCGAGCTCTGTGTGGTCAAGCAACGCTAACGCTACCTAACCCTTATTTTAAATACCCCATGATGAAATCGACTTCCATTGTGTGGGGGCCAACTGGGAAGTCAAAACCAATAGTATATTTTCGTAAGCATGTGAAGCTTTCTTGGCTTTATATTATCAAGGCTCTATGAATACCGTAAATTTGAGTTGTTCAAGTGGATATGTCCATACAAAGATGCCTACTGAAGTGCCAAAAGTGTCAGTATACGCGAACATACCTCCAGGTATTATACATGATAAGTAAATAAAAAATATTGCTAGGAAAGAGAAAAACACTTCAAAAAGGCATTTTTTAAAATAATATTAAATAACTACTTCAGTGAATTAACGTACTATTTGTTGTAAGTGAACACGAGCATCCAAATCTGACAATGGTTCAAGAGCTAAACGATCACCGAAAGTTTTAATCAATTGCATTGTCTCTTCCATAGTATGAAGGCGAATTAATACACTATTTGTATTTGGATTTAGAACATGAAAACTTGTCAGTTTGAAATGTGTTGATAAAATATTCTGTAGATTATGTATGCTAGGTCCAGGCAATCCTATCAATGGTTGTACTAATAACCATTGACCTTGCATCTCATTAGCACCGTGAAGATTACCTAAAGAATTATTTTTTACCACCGGAAAATTTATGTTATTGTCTAAATTAGGACGAATTTGACAGTTGTTGTTGTTGCTGTTATTGTTATTGCTATTATTATTATTACTGTTGCTGTTGTTAGCTTGCTGGTGCTGCTGCCATTGAGCATGATTGGTGCGCATTGTGGGATTAGTTGTATTGTTGACTGATGTTGACCATGTAGGTGACCAGTTATTACCACCACTGCTATTATTATTATTATTATTAGAAGCTTTGCCAGTTGTTCCAGTACGCGAAAAATGATTTGACTTTGAACCTACAGAGACATCAATTAAAACGGAGAAAAATATATAGAGAGATTTATTCAGTGAACTACCACCTAGCAGAAAAAAACAACTGAGAGAATCATCAAAAGTCAGATGATGGCGAAGACTTGTGCGTCATTAACGATGTCATTCAGTGTAAATAATCGAAATAGTAGGTGTACACGTCAACAGTTCACTGGTAGAATACCCGTAAATGTGGTATGGGGGGTTCGACCTTCAGCCGACGTATTTCATCACCTCGCCTAGCCATCGTAAACTCGGTGAGCAGGGGAGGTCGAACGTAAGGCTAACCACTCCACTCCATAAAAAAGGAAACACCGCTGTTACTAAAAATTCAAAGCTAAAGCTAGATGTTCTACTTTTTTTTCACTAAGAACGCAAACGAATAAAGTTAAAATAATAATCAAAATAGTAGGAAGACTCAGCTAAAGATTTTTTTACCAACCAACACTAACGAATCTTGTAATCAGAAGTATTATGTGTACATGACACCCATGTAATTGTTTCTAGTGCCAAATACTGATGATGTCTACCGCCTATTGTGTGATATACCCAGTAGTTATCCAGTCCGGCTATCGACCAAAAGGCGGGTGTACTGCTCAGCAGACCGCTCCGTCCTCCTTTATGGCTGTGAGACCTGGCCATTGAGAGTGGAAGACATGAAAAGATTAGCTGTCTTCGATCATAGGTGTCAGCGTTCTATCCCCCGTGTGAAGTGGTATAATAAGGTGAGCAATATTGGGGTTAGGCGTCGTGTGTTAGGTAAAGAGGGAGCGGAAATCAGTCGACGAGGCTGTGAAATTACATCGACTGAGATGGTTAGGACATGTGCTATGTATGCCTAGTCATCGCCTACCTCGACTGACGGGCAATGTTAGCTGATATAGGGTCAGGCTGGAAAACCTATAGTGCAAATAATGGCTCAAAATCGTTCTCAGTGGCGCAGATGCATCCACTCCTTGTGACTCATGATTTCCAATGAAACTGTTTTGTTCTTCGTTATTACTATTCCTTTGTCTCACACCTTTGTTTACTGTCTCTAATATGCATTTCTCCTACTTTCTTCTCTTGCTTTGTGTGCTACAAGGAGGGAATGTGGCGACTTGAACTTCCGCACATATGTGCAAAGTTCTATGTCGAAAACAGACAGTAGTTATCCAGTCTACAATGGACTGAGTATGATGCACTGAATGCAAGTCAGGTGCTGAGGTCACTAAGCCAGATCTCTAAAGAATATAATATAGAGCTCAAAGGGGGAGGGGGCTAATAATATGCCAAAACCTTGGATGTCACGCATCCAGTGTAGAAGGAATGAAAATCAGTTCTTTACAAAAAGTATTGCACAGTCTAAGTACAAAGGACAAAACTCACTCATTCATACATACAAAACACACATTATGCAAAGAAATTACAAATGGAGAAAGAATAGAAAGTACTCATACCTATAAAGTTTAAAACAGTTGTGCTTATTTGGCAAAGAATAAAGACATAGACGGTTGACACACACACTAAATATTATCCAAAATCTATCAAAACAAATGTTCAAAGCATTTTCCAGAAATGAAATCACGATATAAAGTCACTACATTTCATCAGAATCAATATCTACTCAACACCACCAACAATGACACATAAACAGATGTCAATGTAGGTACATATATATGTCAGTTTTGAATAACATTCAGTTGGGAAACATACCAAAATGAATCAATGAAGTGAAGAGAAATACAATCATAATTGTGGATAGCTGACTAACACATATTAGAAAAAATTAAGCACTTAAAAAGGTGTATTAGGAGGAGGAGGTTGGTTAAGATCTTCGTAACGTTGTAGTACAAACATATGCATTGTAGCTCCCCGCCGCCTTGAATGAAGTCAGCTTAGAGCTTCGCATGTATGAGCTCCAGTGATTACAGATAGTATCATTATGACTGTCACTGAATTCAAGCACACGATATGTAGTCTTAATCGTATTCAATTAACGATTTGCAGTTACATAAATGCGTAATTTTCTGTTTTTAAACGACTATGCCACTGTAACTTTGCCTAGATGACCCTCGGTGGTCCGGGATGCAGGCTTCAAACCTATAGCCGACTGGCGTCGGAGCGGTTCGACTCCGCCTTCTCGGCGTATGGAGGCGGGCTTTTGTGCGTCGATGGCACAGCGGTTAGGACTCTCACCGACTATGCACATGGTCCGGGGTTCGATCCCCTGCCAACGCACGCCCGATATCAATGGTCGGCCTGAAAAATTGGGCTACGGATATCACATGCTGAAAATTCCACACTAGTAACAAAAATACGGTGTGGAGTGTCAAGCTATAATAAAAAAATAAGACTTAAGTTGGGGAGAGATATTGTGGGTACGGTTATCCTCCTTTGTTAACTAGAAAACTGAATAGAATTCGCAGGATAGATCTGATGAACAACTAGGATCATAAGAACAACAACAACAGCAACGACAACAGTATATGTTGCACAGTGGACAATAATAAAAGTGATGATTATTTACAAAGAGATATATACTACTAACTGCTTGAGATGAGTAGTTGCGGTGCCAACACCACTTGCATCATCACACCAATGGTGCTGCTACTTATCAGCCAGTCAGATCGACATGATCAACAAAATACTGAACGACCGTTTTGCTCGTTTGGGGCCGAAGTCATCAGTGGTGTATCCATTTTGACTGGACTCAGAGTCGAATCACTTGTAACTGACCGATTTCCAGCTGGCTGGTTATATCTAGGCGAACTGGTGATAACATAAATCAAATTTTCAATTTTCTTAGAGTCTAGATTGTAACCACTGTACAGAGAAACGCTGCACAAACTCCAGTAAAGATATGACAATGTGACAATGCTTTAAGACACTAAAGATGGAGAGTGTTTATCAAGGACCTATGACACACACACACACACAGACATACAGACAGAGGAACTGATGTGTACCGCCCTGGATGACTAAATTACTTGAAAAATACTTGTATAATGATAGTTAACAACGTAAAAAGCATACAAGTACTAAGAAGATATCGTATACTACTCCACAACAACTTGGATATATCTATGCCACTTGTAATACACCGCAGCAGTCGTAGGGGGTGGGGTGGGGTGGACAGACTGATGCGAACTAGCGGTCTAAATCTCGACAAAAAAGCAGGGTTCAAACGCGTAACTCAGTGGATTTCAACCTGAGTGTTGATTATGCTATAAATCAAAATTTATAAAAATCTACCCACCTGGACCATCTGTCAAGGTTTTATCGAAATTCTCCCCACAATTTGGTGAAGGAGACATCCATGTACCGATAGCAGGAAAAGAGTTATCGGCAACATCAGTACCTAGATAATAAAAAAGAAAATAATAAAATGAAATAATATTGTGTTACATCCAGGAAGCAAAAAAAGTACAACATTGAACTTGTAAATCACAAGTTAGAACATCGCGCTTTAACGTTATTAGCTCTAAGCAATGAAAGTGTGAGAACAGCATAGCTACAAAGAATATTAGACATTGTTTTAAAGTAATTCCAATGAATAATTCTCACTCACTCTCATGTACGAGAGCAGTCCATGAAAAATTAAGCTGCGATCGTTAACTGAATCATATCAATTATATTATCACTGACAGCCTCATCTATTAATTAGTTCTGCAGCTATCTGGAAACTTTTATCATGATTTTAAACTAACTAACTCCATCGACTTACATTCCCATTGTGCAAAGCATAGAATGCATTAAAGTTACAAGATAAATCCTACGTAAGTGTGAGTTGTTCGTGGGTGGCATAGCGGTGGAATGCTCGCCGACCACGCAGGTGGTCTAGGGTTTGATCCCCGGCCACAGACGCACTCTTTTACCTCGCTAAGCCAGTAGTAAGACTGGTAAAGAGGGAAGGTTGGGCATGAGGCTAGCAACCCCATCCCACTGGGAACGTAAAGGAATAAAAAAAGTCAGTTGGTGAATCTACGCCTGAAAGGCATGAAACAAGTGCAATAACTCAAATGTACAGTAAAACTAAGTAATATTTCACAACGTTGCAGATCTAGAAACAATAGCTGTCAGTGCAATAATTTACCATCATTCTTGTCATATTAATATAGTCTCGCTTTACAATCAAGTATAGACATTTCTATGGGAAAATACCTAATGACACTTACAACTTTACCACAGTACTCAGATTATGAGTGCTGTTAGTGTACAAACATAATTATCTAATTACTTGTCATTATCATGAAACCAAGTTTAGTTGCTTGAGACAGTTGACTATCAACCGGAACATATCACACTCGTTGAGGGTTTTTCAGCAAGCACTAAAGTAGACTCTCAACCACTCTGTACCCACTGTTTGACTAATAATATATAAACAGATTCCCTATGCACTATACTTACTGCCTCTAAAGTTGTAACTACATAGTGAAAACCAATCTGTTTCTTTTAAGAGGCATTGAAGAAGTTACAATAATTTAACCTGACTTACCATTTGGTGGTAACAATGGTGGCCGTACCACCGATTGTGCTCCTGGTTCTTGTGTGCGAGCTAAATTAAGCTGTGCGCGTTTTGCGTGAAGTTGAGTCTCGATTTGCTGCATCTGACCCTGTAGCTCAACAAACACATCAGCATACTGAGGTTGAGAACGAAGCGCCGGGTTATTATGATATACTGTCAATTGATGCTGAATGCTCTACATGTATTGTAAAAAATCAAAACAGAAGGTGGTGGTGATAAAATTTAAGATAACCTTACTAAAATTGGTAGAAACACTAACTCATTAGGTTTTTTATCTAAACAGGTTGCCTCATATATATTTAGTATAAAAGACAGATTTTGTGCATTAGTGGTGAAGCGATAGACCTCAGGGTTCGACTCCCGGCTGACGCACTTCTAAGCTTCACCTAGCCGGTGGCAAGCCTGGAAAATTGAAAGGACGGGGCGGGCATGAAGCTAACAATCTCACATCACAGAGAGAAACACAACCACTACTGAAAGACTTTAACGCTTCACACCTGAACCCCAATAGGTTCCACTCGGAATGTAATGAATGAAAAAGGATGGGGGGAAAGCATAAAACGGATCATACTGGGTAAAGACAAAAACGGACAACAGGAAGAGGCAAAACTGTGGAACCTGTTACACAGCCTTGGTGCTGTTTTTTGCTCATACTCTTAAAACTGAGGCACATAGAATAAATGTGGATAGTACACAACTGTCATTCGAAACATTTGTATTTCATTGCTCCTTGATTCAAAAGGAGATATAGTAACGTATCACCCATATAAATAAGGATAAGAGAACTTTCTTTGGCTTTAAAGTGAATTTGTCCTCTAATCTTTTCTTTTCAACTGACTTTCTGGATGAATGGGTAGGTAGAACAATGTAGAAGTCATGCGCATAAAGATGCATCAGTGTTCAGTTTTTTTAAACTGAATTCCATTTGACACAATTAAGGCGACCAAAATATACGCTTATATGAAAGGATGGCTGCAAAAATGGCACAAATATGATTTTTAAAAACAATTATGAACTCACCTGATGTTTCTTTTGCAAATCAATTATTGAATTAATGATAGATAATTGACGAGGTGACCGTTTTGCTGGATTTTGGTTAAAAGCTGCTACTGACCCAATTGGTGTGCGATTATTATTAGTATTATTGTTATTTATATTACTGTTAATATTCTTAGCAGGACCTAGAGTAGTTGTAGGCGGTAAACCACCACCACCACCAGTGAGTGGATGTGCGTTATTCGTAGACGGTGGAATTGGAGTATTTAGGTTAACATTTGATAAAGAAGGCGGTGGTGGTTGACCTAAAAGTGAACCACCACAAGTACCTACTGAACTATTTCCATTTAATTGTACACCCAATGGATTCGGTAGTGGAAGATTTAATGCAGAACGAACCTTCAAGAGAAAAAGACAATTTATACATAAGTGAGTTGTATTAAAACAGGCAAATATATTTCACAACATAGAAATTTATGAACTAATGAGTCCATTAGGCTGATATGAAAGGTAGCCTAGCGCCCATTTGCAACTTCGAGTTATGAAATGACGCGTATGTCAACTGGAATTCACGTCAAACAATTCTAATCTGCCATTGGTTGTACATATTGTAGCAGCGTGAAACCTGCATAATATGTGGTTAGACTAACTTATTCATAGGTAAATTCTTTAGTTATATTTATCTACTAATATTATAAAACACGTGATCTAATTAGGACGAAAGATAGTTTACTACTTCTTTGACATCGACCTACGATAATTAGCCTCCAGGTCACATATTTTAGCCAACTGTCAGTTGCAGTGGTAATAATAATTAATGGATATCTTAAGAGATCTGTCTTGAATAATTAAAAAAAAGAGCAAACAAAAAAATAGCTAAACGCTGAACAACTCAAAAGAAACTCTTAATTTGTCTCCTACTTAAAAAAGACACAATTTCTCCGAAAATGGTTGTGAGCATCAAAAATATAAATGAAAAAAGTTACCCTACAGCTAAAATTGCAGCTATACACACACAAGCACAAAAGACGCCGTGATCACTATGAATTATGTAACCGAGTCAAATAAAATGCTTACAACTGGACTCATGCATACAGAAAAACTTTATTCTTTAGCTCCCATGGTAATTTGATTTTCACTTTGTGGTGAGTTGAATGCCTTATATCCTTCTTTATTCTATCCATTTCAACCCAATGTACTGAATCCAATCATCTTAAGAACTCTGATATTTCTTTACTAGATTATGGTTCCTATGTCTTTCTTCTAACCCTCATCCATATACACTCCTCCTTTAGTTGAACCCATTCACTTCACAGGACAAAGTTCTAGGGAAAATGTACTGTCTAGTGCATTTTTAATGGAAATGCAAAAAAATTCACGTGGGCAGACTTCACACTAATGTGTACATATCCCCACAGGTGTACACTTTGATTACAGAATTGCTGAATCTCAAAGTGATTCAAAAGGGTATGTTTATTAGACCCTCGGTTAAAATCAATACAAAACAGGTTGGTATCAACGTAAGACTACTTAATCAACAAGAAATAATGTAAAACATGTATATATATAGGCTCCATAAATGATCTTGCTACTGTCAACGGTAGGTGGGACTTCAACCTTTTCGAAATACTCAAGTGGCCACGCGTTCATACCCTCTGATAGGTAAGTCTTATTCACTGCCTTCACGCAGTGGAAGTAGAGGGTTCTTTACAGAAGTGGAAGGGTGAATGGGAACACCTGGGGCTTACAACCGGACTGGTGGTCTACCAAGTAAAGCTAGGAAACCCTATGGCTGGATTCAACATAGAACTTGGTACCGAAGTGCAGCAGTTCGAGTTGCCACGTTCTAAAGCTTATTTGCACTATAGGGTTTCCTATAGTGCAAATAAGCTTTAGAATCCCAAGGATCGAGTGGTGTATGAACCTGTTTTAGTCATCGACAACCATGGGAATGCAGCCCCACTACTCTGTGAAGACTTCAAGTCAAAGGCTCGATGGGCGGCCCTATTAGACAACCACCTGCTTTGATTTGAGCTTCCTGATAGATTATCCCAGCTCCCGCACAAACTATGAGATTTTGTGTGGTGAAACACTTGGTTGTCTATGATGTACCAAGTTTGTGTTGTAATAAATGATAGCATACATATATATATATATATATTACCTGTTGAGTGATCTGTTGTCTCATTAATTGAGAATTAGGTACTGGCTGCATAGACGACAGTAATTGGTTTGTATTACTTTGTGTAGTAACACATGGTCCTGACTGCTTTAAACGATGATTTTGTGCAGAAGGAGTCGAGTTATTTCCTGAAAGTGATAACTGAGATAATGAAGTATCATTTGACAATTGATGCATTGGTCCATTTCTTGTTCCTGTGTGCGATGATGATGATGATGCACCATTAACTCCGTAATTACGATTAATTTCTGAAGGTTGTGTCATGGTCCTATTGGTGCTGTAACGCTCACGTAATTCAGATAAGGCTTTTTCTGGCTCCATATTACAAGCAATCAGTGCAGCATGTGCATCCTCTTTCTTAAAACCTTGACTCATTAAATATTTAACTAGATCAGCACGGTAAGTATTGCTGTATGGATGAACTTGTAGTCGATCCTGTGGGAAGTTGAAATACATTATGCATAAAATATGACTTGTAGGCTATTGAAATGTATAAGCGTTAGCAAAAATATTATTTTAATATGAAATAAACTGATTGATAGTATTGTGGTGAGAGCTGGCTGCTAGCCAAAGTAATTTACGTCAATGTTTATGTCCCCAATATTGGTCGTGAGAAAAATGAGAACAAAGACTTTGCGTAGGCGGATACAGTTAGCATATAGATGATCTGTCGCCTGGCCCTTGTCTTCTGTTGTTACAGTATGATCCGATGATTGCTATTTTGTAACAATTGTCCTTCCTGTGACTAACCATTAAACCCATAATGACAGAAACGATAACACCATGCATTTCTTAGAATGCCCAAAGGTTAGGAATATGATCCCATGGCATAGGGATGGTATACCATGTGACAAAAAGGTAGTCATTTTTCAAGAATAACCGACATTACTGGTAAAGACTAAACAGTATTGTGAAGAAACAGCTCAAACACACGACCTCCAGCTAGGTCATGCTCCATCTACTTTCAGTCTGGAAAAATTGGTAGTACCATCAGTCCTCACACTCAATATATAGCTGGTGGTCTGGTGTAAATGAGCTAATACTTTATGGCCAACCTGGTGTTGTAAGCACTACAGCCTACAAAATCAAAAGATTTGAAAAGCAACAAAACTACTACTAGAATTAGCACAACTTAACTATGTAAATGCTTAGGGCTGCATTACATTATTTTGCCTAACTTCCCATTTGTATAGCCGTGAAATATGGCGTTTTCAAAGACTTTATCTTGGTATTATGGTGGTCTTGTGGTGAGAGCTGTCTACTAGCCAAATTGGTAGACAGTAATTTACGTCAATATTTACGTTCCCAAGATTTGTCGTGAGAAAATGTGAACAAAGATTGATTCAAAACCGACCACAGCAGATTTTGCGTAGGCGGATGCAGTTAACATATAGAGGATTTGACATTCAAGGAACAGTCACAAATAGATGAGATTAACTTTACGTGAGAAACAACCAATCGGAAGACTGTGTTTGTTTGTTTAAATATCCATAGTAATGTACATGAAATATATAAATATGCGTTGATTTCCTTAATAAATGATCTGTTGCCTGACTCTTGCCTTCTGTCGTTACAGTCTCTTTGCCAAATTAACTCCCAACTTTCATCCATTACGTTGTGCGTCTTGACCTTACAAAACCTGGTCTGACGTATAGGACTGAATGGTAGTTAGCATAGAAGATGCCTCATAAATGGGAACGCTTTGTTATCAATATATCCACATCTCGATAAGATGTCATCATATTAATACTTTGTGGGGAATCATGACTTATTTATCATGGTATGATGGAGGATTAAAAACCAGTCGTTTTTAAATGGTGATCATAAATATAGTAACAAAAAAGTAAGCTTACAGATCCCTGAGTAACTGAAATTGAACCCATGTAGTTATGCTGACGTCTGATGTCGTCTGAAGCAGAAGGCAATTGTGTTTGCATGGAATTAAGTAAACCAGAGTTTCCTGGATTCCCCCAATTTGCACCAATCATACTATTGGATGAAGTATCCCACGAAACCATACCACCGTTTGGATTCATATTAGATCGCATAAAACTTGAATCACCGTCCCAAGTATCAACCTCTGGTTGGTTATGTGTTGAGAGTATAGGTCGAGTTCCACCGAGCACCGGGCGACCACTGGACGGATGAACAGTATTCGCACTATTCCAAACGGCTAAATACACGGAAAAACAACAAATAACTCTGAGAGTAGGCTTTAAAAAAATGAATAGGCAAAGATAATTTTTGACAAATTTCGGTGGAAATCGACAAATTCAAAACAATCAGAGTGAGCACACCATTACCAAGCTAAATTATGCTAAGGTACTTTCAACTTTTACACTGAGTTCTAAGGTGTTGAGAAATATCTGCGAGTGAAACGTTATAAGAAAGCGGTTGAGTGACCTTTAATACCATAGAGAAGAAAATATAATTGTAACTGTGCCTCGTAATTTGTCCATCACTGATGAAATACTTCGGGAACATAGCAAATTTGTAGAATATTTCGTGAGAATATAAGGAATATGGAACTATGGATGAAGAAAAATCTGCCATGTGGAATGACACGGGAAAGCTGAACGGCTTGGATTCCAGCACTCGTGTGAAGCATGGTTGGAAAATATTAGTTTGTTACGGTTGTAATTACTCATAGAAGTAGCTCTATTTTCAGTGCTCAAACACTGGTTTGGTACAAGTACGAGCGCTATGATATAGAACACAGCAATACATAGAAACAACAAAATGTAGTTCGAGAATAATGGAATAAACAAATAATCATATTGCATTCAAGAGAGACATGTAAACCACAGCATGAATCAATGATTTGTGGAACGTAAATGCTTGCCCTTCGGGCTATACAGTCATACCCCGGTAAGAGAGTCATGATATGCTAACACAACTATCCTTTACCTCTGGACGTCATATCACGGGTCACCATCCCTTTTTCTATTCACGGTTTTCGAACAATGAATACTGACACTTATGCAATTTTCACTGCACTGCTTTAGAGTTACTGTGAAGGATGGGTGTGGATTTTCGACCTATTCTTTCACTTAAAATCTAATCTAGATGACAGAGAACAAGACCTATCGGCTGCACTATCGTATTTGCTGGTGTCCACAACAGATATATAAGTATTCTGTTCCCTGTGAATTCTACAAACGGTATGTCAAGTTAAAAAACACTGTGGAGTTTCCGTACCTACCAATTCGATTATAGGCGGCACACATTTGTATCCATCATCTTAATTTTGTGAGAATAAAAGGGAGCTTAGAAACTTGTTTACTGACAGATTATACCTGGAATATCCAACGTCGGAATAATTCCGAAAATGCAATGGGGTTATGTTCATGAACACTGACTGACTTTGCAAAGCTTCAATTTTCATTTACACAATTCACAGATAACCAAATATTAAGTGTGAGACGGAATACTTCAGAGGATTAAGCTGACAGATCGAAGACAGGAGCAATGGTTAATACATCAGTCGTACAACATAAAAACAATACGCTAATTGGCCAGGTTATTCTGATTTCACCAAAAACAGCACATACTCAGCACTTACCTTCCGGATGGGAAACAGTCACTGGCTGTCTTCTATGCAACGCACTTCCACCGAGTTGGTCTTCAGTATCTGTGACACCTATAGGCGCGTTCCACAACAAATTGTTGCGATCGGGAGGGCCTGATAAGCCGATATTCCAGTTCTTAGACAATCCTAAAGAAGAACAGGAAAAATTGGAAATATTACAGCAGTAGCACATACAGTAACAAATAAAATTATTAGGAGGTCATGGGAAAACTCTGGATAACTACACTGAAACTATGTGTTACTCGGCCCCCACATGTAACGGCAAATTACATCAACGTATTTTTAACTGTTTCGTTTCCATATACATCAGTAAATGTTGAAAGTAAGACAAACCACTTAATTTTCCAGGCAAAAAAGTCAATCATGAGTCAGAATTATCTTTAAACTAGGTTAAAATTTCGAGACTTACTACTCTCATTATCTTCCCATTCTCGACAATCACTAGAACGATTATGCTGCAGTTGTGGAGCAGGTCGAGGATTAATATTAAGACTAGAATTCATCATATGGTTAGGGTTAACTTGAGCAACAGATGGCATGTCACGAAAGACTGAAGACTGTGACTCTGTTTGCCAAGCAGCTGAACGACCACCTAGGCTTTCATAATGCATTTCCCATATCCCTGTCCCTGTTGGTGGTTCACTAGTCCATACATTGGAATCGGATGTGTGAGCTTGTGAGGGCATCTTGTAATTCCCAGACAAATATCCAGAAGAGCAGGCACCTGGTGTAGGTGTCGTAATACCACTACGATTTATTTGGTCATTCAACTTTGAATCCAGTGGTTCCCATGGTGTTGCTTGGTCAATAGGTCTTCGACCCCAACCTTCATTAGTGTTGATTAATCGGTCACATAATTGTTCTGTTGAAAATGCCTGATTTGTCGATTCATTTTCATTGGCAGAGCCTATGGCTGTTTTAGTATGAGCAGCTGGAAAGAAAAAAAGTAAACCGTTAAATACACTTTTTTATGATATAAGTCAAGATTCAACTACATTTAAATGCACAAAACCTCATCCTATATTTTTGAGGTAGTTGTATTTGACCCCTACCTCATTCCCATGAAGTTTATAATACGACTGAATACAATTCATTAAACTCTGAACAACCACCACCTTTAGCCTGAGCATATCTGCAATGATTTAATTAAGCGGCCGAAGCGTTTACAGAAAACAAGTTGACGGGCATTGAAACAACCATAGTTTGCTGCATTTAAGAACTACGAAAGAAACAATGAAGAATAAATCACTTAGGTGATTTCTGCAGACATGTTTCAGATGCAAAGTAGGCCAGAGGAATGGTGAACAGTAAATCACTCCTTCAGTGACTGGTTACTTCGCCATCGCTAGTTTCCAACACTCAGCATCTCTCGATCTGAAGGTCATTCGAACCTAGAGATAGATGTTGCGATCATGTTAAGCCCAGAGGAGTAGTAAGAAAGTATGTGATGATGAGCAACACAATCTACCGAGGCATGTGTCCGAGTTATGTTAATGGTGTTACGAAATGACAACCAGTGTCCATATTTAGCAATATGATCGATGGACTTGTTGATTTAAATATCTTGATTGATTTTTACTGAGAGGCATAGTTCATCTAGGGCACGCTGATGGAGACCCCGACAAGAGTTAATGTACACTGCAACAAGTAATTAGCTGCTGCAGGCCTGGGCGACATTGACTCACTGTTGAAAGATAAGATACTAGTGGTTGCGCTTTTACTACTTCATTTATTGGGAAGTTTTCAGCACTAAAAGTGGGTTACTAGTGAATTGGAAGAATCATAGGAAGACAAAGTGATCTTGAAAATCCAAACAGATAGTTGCATCGTGGAAGGAATCCGAAGCAGAAATCTGTGTTTTCCTACCAATAAAACAACAGTTGGTGTCCCCGAGGACAGTTATTGACTAACGAACGGAGTGAGCACTCCTTATAATTGCCACTGAGATATATTCATCGTAAAGTGAATCAATCAGCAGATTTTGTTGACCCAGAAACTTGTACTCATGCGAACCAAATAGGATTTTAGATGCATTTAAGGAAGAGCAAGGCTGTCATCAGATCTCAGGGGGGAAGTAGTATTCGGTCATTTAAGCAGGTTTGCTGTACATAAGTTGCTGTCGTGTGTTATTGGTTACTTTCAAATAGGTTGCGAGGCATATTTGCACCATATAAGAAAATCTTACTGACTAGTAGCTGTCTCCATTATTAATATACATTAATAGACTTTCCTGCACAAATGTGTGCTTTTATTGGATTGTGTTGAATAGCTGTTGATGGTCGCCGACTTCGGTTAGCATTTCTTCATAGTCGCCACAAATTCTGTAGTAGCCTTCATTATTTGTCTAGTCTAACAATGAACTTAAGGCCTGTATATCTGTAAACTTATAGTTGGATAGTTTAACCTCTTCGCTCACCTTCAGTTCTAAACCAGAATAAGACACTTATCTTCGCTTTTCGTTTTCACCGATACATTTACATCAAGTAAAATAAAACTGGATAGGCGTGACAGACGCTTGTCAAAATAGCTTTGAAATGACCAGCCACAGTAAACCGGGGCCGGTGTCACTTAAAAAAAACATTCTCTGCCACTAACCTGTAAAACAAGTAGACACACTAATCAATAGTAACTCATATTAGGTTCAAAGCATCAGTTAAGTGCTAGGTTAGCAAACTGAATCCCAGCACTTAATATTGGAATGGTAGGTAACCGCTAACCCGGTCAGAAGTGATCATGCGAAATCCATAGTAGTATATATCAAAAAACAAAAACAAAATATAGGACTTTCGAAAAACCCATAGGAATACTTTCCACGTATAAGAAATTCGAATTACGGATACCCTTGTAAAAACACACTTGTCTGAGAGGATTTAGTGGAGTGCATAATGTGTGTACTTGCTCACTTACTTGAGTCGTCAGAATTTCTGGGCATAACAGTTAATCCAGAAAGCATTGCGGTAACGTCGGGGAGGTTGCTATTACTATTGTTGTTGGATTGAGGTAATTCCAAAGTCCTGTGACTGTTAACGAGATCAGAATCGCCGACAGTTGTAGGTGCATCTGTTGGTGATCCAAGACACTGAGGATGGTCCAGCTTCCAAGAATCTAATTCATTACTAATTCTAGGCATGTGAAATATTGGGTCATGGGATGAATCCCATATCTACAATACTAATAAAGAAAAAGAAAAGTAAGAACCTACATCTTCTGAAACAAGTGGGTCATTTTGATTGGTTAAATTTCCCCATAATGGGTTGGAAGCTCCTGAAGGTTTCATCTCCGATGAGTGCAAACCACTTGACCAAATAGACATTTTATTTGGAGGTCGCAAAAGAGGGTTGTTTGGTGACCAAGAAACTGCAAATAATTAGTATACAAATAACTTACGGGAATTTGTACTGTCAAATTTGGAATCTCCAGATAATTTTTCTGGTTGTTTATTAACAGTTGAAAGACCTAAGATTGTCAGAAGTGAACACAAATGTTACCTAGGCCACTAAGTTTTGAATGAGCAAGAAATGGGCCTGAATTTAAGGGCCAAATATCATTATTGATTAGTTCCATGTTGCATCCACTATTCCATGCACCAAAGTTAAAGAAATTGAGCTGGGAATTGTCTTCTGATTCTGACATCTATGGCCAGCACGAGTATAATTGTAAACGATATGTCTTACCGAGACTTGAGTATAGAGTGTATTTAAGGATAGTAATAAGGAGTTTTTATCACATTACAGGTGAGGCGTCACAGCACTATCCATACTACTTCCAAAAACCAAGACGAATCTACCAACAACTTTCAAGGACGAAACAAAATGGCGGCCTTCGTTCAGTATGGCCGGCTGTTTAGTGTAGCTAAACAAAGTACTGTGACCTTAATGCCTTAACCCTGTTTCTGATTTTATTCAAAAGAAAGAAGGGCCTTTCCTTGTCTGTTTTAAGGATTTAGCAATTTATTTCTGAACCTGATCATGCACCTCATGGGTTCCTTTCAGTTTACACGTGGTTGCACTAGTATATATACTTAACCTACTTTCGGCTTAGGTGCATTATCTTGACTGAGAATTAAAACTATCTTGGATATCCTTAGCTATGTTTAGTTTTTCATGAAGTGACTCAATGGGGCAGTTACAGCTTCTAAAAATGCGAGATATGTCACACTCCCCATACCATCCTAGAACGGAGGGCTTGATCAAAAAGCATCTACATATTGAATGTGAGCATTTTTCCCAGCTTTCCTAAAATTTCTTCTCACATTATTACCAAAATGTTTATGCTATTCATATAGTTAAAGCAAAAGCTAAACATAGCTGACTTAAGTCTTTAACGGTCCGTAATCATGAAGGGATCAAGTGTTCACTTTCCGTATGTAGACCTTCAAACTTAACTTGCATATCCATTTTATTAATACTAACACTACTGTTACAAGGCTTGAGGTCGACGGATGATACAAACAAATGGACTTCATCAAGGACCGAATCGGAAAAACTCGAAGCATGTCGACTAGTGTTCTGAGGATATCTTAATTCAGCGGTTTGGTTTTCTTGATTTAGTAACGGTTTAGTACGCTTGTTTTTTTTCCTTTAGTCGGCAAATGGCGTTTCAAACTAACGTGGCTCCTTCACACCTGAAATGACAAAACGGTGTAAAAGAAAGCCTCAAATTTCATGCTATCCACTTAGGCATCTTTACTCACTCAAGTACCACAGATACATTTTATATCGTAACATTTCTATCAATGAAATCAGTTAACATGATAATAATTCATTCCCAGAATTGTGCCTCCACGCAACAACGGTAGAATGCTACCCAACCACGAGGATGGTACATGGTTTGATCCCCAGGTGACGCACAACTTAACTACCCCAGGTCACAAATATGACCGGTACAAAAAAGGAAGGATACGCGTGAGCCTACCAAACACATACAGTGAAAATAAATAATCACACAGACATTTCAAGCCTCCAGCTTGAAGATAAAAAAAATTTTTAAGCAAAGAGCGTCATGAAATTCTAGTATTGACGAACTACATTTTCCTGTGTCCAACGGGTGATACTACACTAGGGCTCACTGACTAGTAATGACATCACACTTCTCATTTGCACTGTCTCACCAGTCTTACCAAAAATCTGTAATGCTAGAAATCGCACAATAATCAACTGGGGGAAATAAGATTAGCTCAAAGGATTTGTCAAAGCACAAAATTTAATAACAATAATAATTTACATTTCGTATAAACAGGTAAGTTTACAAGAAATGCTTGTCATTTTTACGGGCACGATCAGTTATGTTATAAATTACAACCGTGAAGTATCATAAATCACTACATTTTCAAAAGTCTGAATTGTTCGATTATTGTACAAACAATCAGAGCAGGTTCCTATAAATGTTAAATTGTAAGCCCTTCAATATGATAACCGTCAAGGTTGAGCGACAACCCGAACTTCGTTCCGTTTCATGCTGATAGTCATGGTCGATCAATGAACAGCCTATATTTGGGTAAGCGCTATGCCGCCACGTGATTAAGAGCTATTTCAGGAAGAGAAGAACGTCCCGAGGAACTGTGAAGTGATATAAAATGCAATTATGGATGATACACCATTGGAAGTACATGTACAAGATATATACAAGAAGGAGCTGCACACTTCTTGGAATGATAATGTACATTTGCAATGTAGGATGTGCTGACCTGTAAGATGCCTCATGAATTTCTGTAGGGCCCACGGGGTAGCATCTTGGCAAGAAGCTGGGTAGGCTTGTAGATGCTAAGAGCGAAAACATTTTTTATAATTTAGATATGTACAATACTTATTGTTTTTGTGTTGAGGATCTAGACTCATGATTAACTTTCGAGCTGTCAAGAAATGCATGTTGCTGTCCTGCAGATCGAAGAGACTCACATTTGCGACCACCACCGTATATGCTGATCAGTGTGGGCCATCCCTCTTACTTAGAAATGTATATACCTGGAGGTCATTAACTGAGTTTAACTGAAACTGAGACTGTCGTTTATGAATGAGAGGAATAGAATAGGGCCAAGAAGACTACTATGTATTACACCCCTATTCATCTGCTTTGATGAAGACAGCTGGTGGTTGATTTTGACTAACTGCTCTCTGTGAGAAAGGAATTTATCCTTTTGAGAGGCTTTCAAGTTACCCCGTAGGATTGTGGTTTTCCCAGGAGTCTGATATGTGAGGCTTTATCAAAGGCTGTTAACAACATTATTTCTCGATGTTAGCAAAGCCTTTGATAAAGCCTCACATATCAGACTCCTGGGAAAACCACAATCCTACGGGGTAACTTGAAAGCCTCTCAAAAGGATAAATTCCTTTCTCACAGAGAGCAGTTAGTCAAAATCAACCACCAGCTGTCTTCATCAAAGCAGATGAATAGGGGTGTAATACATAGTAGTCTTCTTGGCCCTATTCTATTCCTCTCATTCATAAACGACAGTCTCAGTTTCAGTTAAACTCAGTTAATGACCTCCAGGTATATACATTTCTAAGTAAGAGGGATGGCCCACACTGATCAGCATATATGGTGGTGGTCGCAAATGTGAGTCTCTTCGATCTGCAGGACAGCAACATGCATTTCTTGACAGCTCGAAAGTTAATCATGAGTCTAGATCCTCAACACAAAAACAATAAGTATTGTACATATCTAAATTATAAAAAATGTTTTCGCTCTTAGCATCTACAAGCCTACCCAGCTTCTTGCCAAGATGCTACCCCGTGGGCCCTACAGAAATTCATGAGGCATCTTACAGGTCAGCACATCCTACATTGCAAATGTACATTATCATTCCAAGAAGTGTGCAGCTCCTTCTTGTATATATCTTGTACATGTACTTCCAATGGTGTATCATCCATAATTGCATTTTATATCACTTCACAGTTCCTCGGGACGTTCTTCTCTTCCTGAAATAGCTCTTAATCACGTGGCGGCATAGCGCTTACCCAAATATAGGCTGTTCATTGATCGACCATGACTATCAGCATGAAACGGAACGAAGTTCGGGTTGTCGCTCAACCTTGACGGTTATCATATTGAAGGGCTTACAATTTAACATTTATAGGAACCTGCTCTGATTGTTTGTACAATAATCGAACAATTCAGACTTTTGAAAATGTAGTGATTTATGATACTTCACGGTTGTAATTTATAACATAACTGATCGTGCCCGTAAAAATGACAAGCATTTCTTGTAAACTTACCTGTTTATACGAAATGTAAATTATTATTGTTATTAAATTTTGTGCTTTGACAAATCCTTTGAGCTAATCTTATTTCCCCCAGTTGATTATTGTGCGATTTCTAGCATTACAGATTTTTGGTAAGACTGGTGAGACAGTGCAAATGAGAAGTGTGATGTCATTACTAGTCAGTGAGCCCTAGTGTAGTATCACCCGTTGGACACAGGAAAGTGTAGTTCGTCAATACTAGAATTTCATGACGCTCTCTGCGTAAGCAACTATTTTATCTTCTTGTTTGGCAAACGGTCTTACCTGAATACGAAGTAGAGGACCGGGTTTATATCTAGGCATTGATTCTGACTTTATATTTTCAATTGTATTGGCACTTGGCTTATGCGGATTCTTATTATCCATTTCTAAATATTATGATTTAACCAGAATGCAGTTGTAAGCATAGGAATATTAGTCAATACTACAAATGAATTTTGCGAAATAGCCTTCACGTATTTCCAGTGGAGATCTTTATGGCACGTGGACGGAATTTCTGAAGTCATAACTTCTGGGTTATCGTATTGATGACTACCATTAGTCGGTGACATTTTCACCGATATGTGTAAATCAACAAGAAAAGACTTCTGTTTCTAGGTGTGTGCCTCGCCGTGTTCCGCAAGTCAGTTCCAATTCCCTTTTTTACAACTATCGTCATGAAGATGACCGCCGGGTAACGGCTGAACACATAATTCTTCCAAATGACCTGTGATATTACAGTCATGTGAGAACTTGCTTGTGACATTTTCACAGTTTTGGATTTGTTCCATTTTGTCAGAAATAACCCGGATAAGCCTAGTTAGAATTATCTTACACTGGAAGCCAACAGTGTGAATATGAATCACTTCATGGATGTACGGGTCCCTTAGACAATATGCAAATATGGGATAAGGCAATATCCTGGCAGTCAATTAGTGTTCCTACTTCTGTACATGTTCCATGGCTGCTTGTCTGTAGTTACTCTAACCTACTGTGCGACTCATGTGAACAAAATGCCAACCCTGAGTAAGTTCTGTGAATCTCGCCAATCTCCAATAGATGCTAGAAACTTTGAATCCACCTCACCAGAACCATAAGAAGCATCTTTCTTATAATACTTTACAAAGTTCGATGCTGAGGTACGCAGAGTAGTCCATCTATACAAAGGCCACGGAACAGTATTTCATTCTTTATACTTATCATTCACAGTGCCCCTGCATCCTCTTGTTTTACGCTACAACATACTATCAAATCTTCAGAAACAGGTAGGCTAACTTAATACTTCCGTGGCGGGTCTTGGAAATTTGTCAATTAAGTTGAACCTGAGGGAGTTTGCCTTCGACGATCAGTTTGTCTATGGGTGCTGGTTGAATCACAATGCAGACAGGCAATTGAATTTTCATGGGCAAGAACGTGATTGCGAAATTGTGGCGTGAATGTGCATCCCACAAATCTTTCTATGATGCGGTTCGTAAATAAATCCTTGTACGGCTGTAAGCCTCATATTCTGACCTCACTAGCTGGAGCTATGTCAAAAGCAGCCTGGCCACTTTGTCAGGTAGGCCGGGCTAAGGAGTTGACGGGTAGTATGGCCTCACCTCAGGTCTAGCGG